AGTGTCCCTGTGCTGGCCCTGCTGACCCCAGGGTGTTCCACACCACAGAGTGTCCCTGTGCTGACCCCAGGGTGTTCCACACCAGGGAGTGTCCCTGTGCTGCCCTGCTGACCCCAGGGTGTTCCACACCAGGGAGTGTCCCTGTGCTGGCCCTGCTGACCCCAGGCTGTTCCACACCACGGAGTGTCCAGCCCAGTGGGGGTGGCTGGGATCCCCAATTTGTGCTGGGAGTGGCTGCACTGGGCATCACTTGTGCTCCCTGGGGTTTATTCACAGAATCATGGAGTGCTTTGAGCTGGGAGGGACCTTAAATCTCCTCCCATCCCACCCTGCCATGGGCAGGGACACCTTCCATTATCCCAGGTTGCTCCATCCCCATCCAGCCTGGCTTGGACACTGCCAGGGATCCAGGGGCAGCCACAGCTTTGTGCAACCTGTGCTAGGGCCTGCCCACCCTCACAGGCAAGAATTTCCTCTGTGTATCCAACCTAAATTGCCTCTTTTTCAGGTTGAAGCCATTCCCTCTTGTCCTGTCATGATTAAGAGCCTCTCTCCACCTTCCTTCTATCCCCTTCAGATACTGGACACCTCTCTCTTTCTGTAACCTCCCTTTCCATTACTGCTATTGCTATCATTATTATTACTACAATATTTTAATCTATTTCAACCATTAAACTGTTTTTATCCCAACCCCTTGGGTTCAACTTTTTCCAGTTCCCTCCCATCCCAGCGAGTGGCTGGGTAGTGCTGAGCTTCCAGCAGGGGTTAAACCACCACAGCTCAGTGCCCAAATGCTCAGGGATGTGTTTAATTCCCACCTTTGCAGTAGGTGTAGAGGTCTAGCACACAGCAGGTGCCCACCACGGCCTCCAAGGGGATGATTTCATACAGGGGCACCCGGAAGAGCTCGTTGTGGTAGAACTTGCGAGACGGGGAATGGTGCGTTTCGTGCGGACGGAAATAGTGGTGGCCAAAGGCAAAGCGCTCCTCCCTGAGGGGGCAGAGGGGACACAAACACCAATCAGCCCAGGACACAGCTCACTCCATCCCCCTGCTTTGCTCTGAGTTCCCTCTCTTGCACTTCAACAGCAGAGTCACACAAATTCCATGTTCCACTGCCTGCCTGCAGTGAGGGGAAACCCTCCCAGTGTGGTTCCATGGGCACAGCAGAGTGAGTGGCCACGGCACAGCACAGCTGTCACTGCCTGTTCCAACATTGAAGAGATCCATCAATTTCCGTCTCTGATCCTTTGATTAAACCTCCAACCTCATGGATTTCCACCATGCAGTTGTGGAGCACAACTCCAGCATGGTTTCCATGGGCACAGCAGACTGTGACTGATAAGAGCACAGCACAGCTGTCACTGCATCCACAATCTGCTCCAACATTGAGGAAACCCATCCATTTCTGTCTCTGATCCTTTGATTAAATCTCCAACCTCACATACTTCCAACCATGCAGTTGTGGAGCACAACTCCAGCATGGTTTCCATGGGCACAGCCCAGCTGTCACTGCACCCACAGCCTGCTCCAACACTGAGGAAACCCATCCATTTCTATCTCTGATCCTTTGAATTAAACCTCCAACCTCATGGATTTGCACCATGCAGTTGTTGAGCACAAGCCACAGTGTGGTTTCCATGGGCACAGCACAGCTGTCACTGCCTGTTCCAACACTGAGGAAATCCATCCAGTTCCATCTCTGATCATTTGATTAAACCTCCAACCTCATGGATTTCCACCATGCAGTTGTGGAGCACAACTCCAGTGCGGTTTCCATGGGCACAGCAGACTGTGACTGGCCAGCACAGCTGTCACTGCCTGTTCCAACACTGAGGAAATCCATCCATTTCTATCTCTGATCCTTTGCTTAAACCTCCAACCTCACGTTTCCACTGTGCAGCTGCAGAGCACCAGCTCCAGCTGGGAATTCCCAACCTCTGCACCTGCACCCTGCTCATTCCTGCATCCTAAAGGTGAGACTGCCACACAATTCCTGTTCTTTGGCAGGCAGGCCAGTGGGATGGCTCCAACTCCAAGGCTGGCTGGCACTCACTTCTCGTTCTTCCAGAGCTTCTCGATGCGGAAGATGTCGAGCTTGTCGCGGTTGATGTGGGACAGCAGGCGGTACGATTGCCGCACCGGGTGCCCGTCGGGGGTCCTGCGGCTGTCCCTCATCAGGTACACGCAGTCACCTGGCCAGGGCACAAAGGACACACCTGTGAGCAGCCTGGCCTCAGAACCACAGGGAATAATCATTAAAATGAGCACAACCTAATGCTGGGTTGTAAGGAATGACATGAACGCGCTGCACAAGCTGCCAAGAGCGCTCAGATGTTTTTCACTGCAGCTTTACAGAAAAAATAGCCACAGCTTTCCATGCCAGACTGAAAACAGCAACCTGTGAGGGATCAAAACCATGACAAACCTCAGGATATGGTGATCAAAACCGTGACAAACCTCAGGATATGGTGATCAAAACCATGATCAGTAAACACGTCAGTCATGATTAAGAAAAGGTGTAGGAATTAGTGATGGCTGCAATAAATCTGTGAGAGAGGAAGTTACTATTAAGAAAATCTTGTCCTGAGAAGCCCCAAGCCTTTGGTTATTCCAGCAGAATTCCAATGAGATGTAGAGCTCAGGAAAGGTAAAGAGAATACAAAAAGGACTGAACAAACTGGCACTGCTGGCAATCAAAAAGCGTTTCCCAAGGACAAACCCTAAGCTTAAATTTATTCATTTTGTTGTGTAAGTGAATTAATTCCTTGATTTCTCTGCTCTGACCTGTGAAATCCCAAAATTACCTGGGCTGGAAAGGATTTTAAAGACCATCCAGACCCACCCCCCTGCCATGTGCAGAGATATCTTCCACCAGACCAAGCTGCCCAGAGCTCCATCCCACCTGCCCTTAAGCACTTCCAGGGCTGGCAGGAGATTCCATTTTTTCTGTTATTTACCTCAAAATGACCAAAACCTGGGAGGTCCCAAGTCATAAAAGCTCCCCTGGGTAGGAGCAGAGGTCACACAGCAGAATGTTCTGGCTGGCAGGAGGAGAGAGCCAAGGAAAACCTCCCTGTGCTGTCCCTGCTGCTTTTTCTGTTTCAGAGCCAGAGGCTTTGGGAATTAATCCTTCTTCCAAGTATTTGTCTAATCTTTTTTGGAACCATTTCTACTCTGACCTCTCCAAGGCTTGCCACAGTCTACTCATGATTTTGTGGAAAAAATCCTTCCTAGAGTTTAACTGTTGCCAGCTAATTTCTGTTTGCTCCCTAATTTCTGCATCCTTGCCCCTTCCTGAGCCACATTTCACAGACCTTCATCACTCACCCTCCAAATCACCTGGGCAGACTCTGTGCACAGAAAAGATGATCCAGATCAGATTATCTTTGTTATCTTTGTTTTTACAGGTAGTGGGATGTCAGAGCAGCACAGGGCAGGCAGGGCAGACAGACACCCTGGAGGTTACAGAAGGGCACAATCCCTCTGCTATTTTGTGCATAACAATTTCTGATACTCCCGTTGCCCTTCTGACTCAGCTAGAACATTTTTCTCACGTTTCCATTAAATTACAATGATTCCTGGGAGTTGTTTTCCCTATTTTTTCCCCTGTTTTTGTGCATGTGCAGTAATGTCTGTTTTCCTTCCATGGATATTGGTGTTGTTAATTAGCAGGTTTGGGAAAAAATGCCAGGGAACCACAACATGGCCCCAGGGTCATCCACACCCCATTTTTGCTATAACCAGATTCAGGATTAAAGTGAAGCACATTATATTTTCATTCATATAATCTCATTTATCAATCTTGTCTAAGTTTAAAACATGATCCTAAGGACTCATAGAGAGAAATTTCTTCCATAAATCCAACCTAAATTTCATGATGTTCACGTGGTCCCACCTCTCCAGCCTGTCCATCCCTTCCCTCAGCATTCTGACCACACCACAGAGCTTGGTGTCTTCTTCCCATCTGACCTAAAACTGGCATAACAACAGCTTCCCTTTATGACTTAAAGGGTAATTTCTAAAGAAATTAGAGAGGTGGGTTCCTTAAAAGACTTTTAGAATACAAGGAACATACTGAGAGGAGCTACTGGCCCCGAGTAGAATGTAAATAAAACCATTCCATTTTAAACCACCTAATTTTAAACCAGCTTTTTTCAACTCTTCTTCCCCCACCTCTCCCATGAGAAGAAAGCTTCTCCAGCATTTATTGTGCCTGACTGAAAAAGGAGCATTCAGAAGGAGATGTAACTCTTGCTGTAAATATCAGGAAACTTGATTTCAATTCCAGTTTATACTGATATTCTGCCTCAAAAATGAAGTTTCCAAGGAAAAATCAGAGCACTTGTTGCTGGTGCATCAGGGATGATGATTTGTTAGAATTTCTGGCTAGGTGGGTTTTCCAGGATCCATTTTATCAATTCCTACCCAAGACAGAGCTCCATGGGATGGAATGGATCAGATCTGTTTTATTTGCATCATCTCCTGAGTTTAGCTATTAGGGAATTTTTGCAGTGGTGTAACACTCAACAACTTCCAGCAGAATTGCCAAAAAATGAAGAAACAAGTTCTGCAACCATCCCTGAGATCCCTCTGAGAGGGATTTGGTCTTTCTCACACATCTCATTTTCAGTCTTGTTGCTCCAAAACATCAGCTCTCAAGCTTGGAACTGCAGTTCAGGGTGCAGCTCCTCCTGGGCAGGCACTCAGTGCACAGCTCCCAGGAAAATATAAACCACACACACACTGAGGGGCTGCAGAGCATGGTTTTGTGAGAATGTGGAATTATGAGGCCCTGTAGACACCAGAGGGAGTAAAAAGCTGGTTTTGCCACAGTCCAAGCTGCCTAATACACCTGTAGAACAGTAAAAAGGTTCTGCCTGAGGATTCAGGGTGGGAAAATCAACAAGCCCAAGGATTTCCCCTTCCCCTGCTGGAGCTGCATGTTCTGTTCAGCACCTTGGGGTGGAATTTGCTTCATCTGCTCCCTGGGCCTGCAGAGGTGCCCTGAAGCTGCAGTTTGGTCCCTTTGTCCCCTGCTGGTGGCACACAGAGCTCAGCAATGTCCCACAGAGGGACATTTCTCTAATTAAGGTCACCAAGATCAGCTCAGAGACACACAAGGAAAATTGAACACACTTGTGACAGAAATGATCTTAATGCTCTGAACACCTGGAAGATGCCACAAGCCCCTGATAAAACATCATCCATTTCAACAGAAAATATAAAAGCAAGTTCTGATACAGCCCTTGAAGTCAAAAAAGAGAAACTCAAAGGCTGAACTCTGGGCAGAACAGACAATGCAGAGCAACACCCAGCAAGGAGAACTGAATGCAAATTCCAGAATCCTGCAGGTGGGATCATGAATACGCTGCTTTTTGACCTTTTTCTAAATTCCCCTTTTTCTTGAGGGTTTTCTTTTTCCCTTCCGGCAACTTATCAGCTGGTTTCACTCATTCAAGAGCAGTTTCCTGATAATGATAAAGGGTTTTTTCTAACCTTCTATCTGTAGGATGAAATTTAAAAAACCATAATCAGTGAGGTGAGTTGTGTGGCTGCCTTGGAGAGATTCAGGAATTCAGAGCACAGTTCAGAGGAGATAAGCTTTAGGGAACACACAAGCAACGAGCTGGATGTTTTAATGCCCATTCTGCACTAAAATAAAGGCTTTTTGGCCTTTACTTCTAAATGTTAACTACCAGCAGTTGGCTCAGCATCATCCTCTCCTGGCCAGGACAACCCTGTGCTAATTAATATTTCTTCATCAACAGCCTGTGAGAATTCTGATTGTGTATCACTCCCAGCACTGCAGAGAGAGCAGTGAAAAATGGAAGTATTTTTGCCAGAGTAACGCCACAAAGTGGGAGCTTCTACTTTGAAAAATTAAATTATTTTTGCCAGGGTGATGCTACAAAGTGGCAGCTTNTTTTTTTTTCTCCTCTGAGTGGGAATATCAAGCAAAAATAAATTAAATTTGACCATCCTGGACAATAACCACGAGGTTTCCTCAGTACCTAACATCAATACAAGGCACGCCCACCAACACACACACCAAGAGCACTGCAGAGCAGGGTGGGCACCGTGCCAGCCCGGCCCCCCAGGTGCTGCTGTTTGTATTTTGTCCGTTTGCTGCTGCTGCTGCCCTCTGTCCTTGCCCAGCCCAGCCAGAGCCCAGAGCTCGGCTGCCCCTCGGGGGTCACTTCCTGAAGCTGCTCTCGGCCATGGTCAGCGTGCGGCGCCGCAGCTTCCGGCCCGAGCCCTCCTCCAGCAGGTACGTGACATCGATGGCTGCAACAGAGCACAGCACAAAAGAGACTTTGCAAACTGCCCTCCAGCTCAGTCCCTGCAGCGTCACTGGGCTGGGAAAAGCCCTCCAGGATGGTGAATCCAACCTGGGAGTGATGCCCAGAGCACAGCGCTGCCTCCCAGCGCTCCCCAAACACAAAATTCCTGATTCTTTATTCCTGGTTCTTTCAAGGATGAATCCAAACCACGCCTGGACAAGGTGCTGAGTGACCCAAGCCCTGAGATGTGGCTGGACCAGAAATCCTCCCAACCCAAATGAAGCATCACTCCATGACTGTGTGGCACTGGACAGACTGGACAGGGCTCATTCTGGCTTTTAATTTAAAAGCAGGGTCACACTTCAGCAGTGTCCCCTCATCCCACAGCTCAGAGAACACCTCCAGCAGGCACTCAGAACCAAAGGAAAGCTCATGGAAGGTTAAAAGAGACTTTCCAAACTCCTCTCAGTCTTTCCTGGCCTGTCTGTTAAGTATATCTATTTGTAGATAAGGAATGATAGGGGGGGAATTAGTTTATGGAAAGGTTTTGTGGTTATTAAAAATATTATACAAAAAAATATTTAAAATATGACACAAAACAGTGTCATAGTTGTAAGAAATTTCACTTGGATTTAGTGGATTTCTGTTGCAAAGGAACATGTGGCTACAAAGAAAACTGACTTTCTTAATGCCCGCCAGCAAAAAATTCACACAAAACCCCTCATTTTATCAACACAGCTCAGCCAAGCGCCCCCAGAGCTGCAGGAGACGCAGGGGCTGTGCAAGCAGAGCTTGAACCCTCACCGTTTTTCCCTGGGATTTTCTCGAGGAGGTTGAGCAGGATCTGGTTGAGCCTCTCCCTCTGGAGGTGCCGCCGCTCCTCGGGGCTGCAGAGCGGCCTCGTGTCCGAGGGGCTCTCGTCCCCTTTCTTGTCGGCCTCGCAGCCCTCGCTGGCCACGGGCTCCTTGTGGGGCTCCTCGGGGCTGGGCAGCTCCCCTGGAGCCTGCTCGGGGGCCCCCAGCACCTCCTCCATCAGCGGCAGCGAATCCTCCTCCTGGTTTAAGTCTTTCATCTGTGGTTTCGAGCGATCCGATTTCCAGGATGACCTTGCGGGGAAAAAAAAGGGTTTAAAGAGAAGTTTTTCACCTGAAAGGACAATTTTCAACGAGTCCAGGACTCATCCATGGGCTGGGGATCTCTGGAACTCAATTTCTTCCCTCCATCCCTGCACTCACACCCCCCAGTGTTACATCCCACCAAACCCAGCAGCTTTATCTGCACCGCACCAAACGCAGCTCTGAAAAACAAATGGATTTTTATTTTCAGTTCCAAAAGATTTTACCTCCAAAATCACTTTGGCCCAGCCCTTAGTGGGATGCTCTTGCAGGCTCTCCCAGACCTGGGCTCTGAAGCCTCCTCTTTTGAGCATCTCCTCACTCAGCTGCTTTTTCCTGACTGTCAAATGGCTCCTTTCTTTTCCTGATGTACATTATTATTAATGCCTATCCTTCCTCACTTGTTCCCTTTTATCTCTCTGAAAGTTTTAGAGAGCTTTCAATAATTTAAACTTCTTATTTCCATAGCACCCAGGGGAAAGGGGCAGGAGGAGAGTGGGCACAGCAAACAAACAACTTGATTTCATCTCCTCTCAACAATCTGGGAGGGGAGACTCACCTGCCTCCGTTCCTCTTGTAGTTGTCTGGCACATAATGAGGCTGCAAGAACAATAAAGGTTATGATCAATACCAAATCAAATTCACGGTGGAAGGAAGTGCTGCTCTGTCAAATACTCGGAAAGCCAATGCAGGACACTCTGGAAATGCTGGTGTACCTCAAAGAGACCTCTCAGGAGGAGGCACAATCACGTAATGAGATAAATTAGAGCCAGACTTGTCTGATTCTTCACATCTTCTACATAAATTTCAAGCCACAGACCATCATGATAAAAATAATCTTTGCTTTCTGCACAGCATGAATCTGGAACCTTCTCCAAAGCCACTACAAAAACCTCTGCTCCAGGAAGGGCAGAGCTCACTTGCAGAAGGTTTGCAGATTTGCTACCTCTGAGTCTCTGAGCTCACCATCACCACCCCTTGAGCACCTCTCTGCCTCCCAACTGCACGTTCTGTTACACCCAGTTCTATTTCCAAGCTTGCTTTCCAGCCAGCCTTTCCCCAGGCTGTGCAAACTCACAGAATCTGGAATGACTGAGGTTGGAAAAGCCCTCCCGGAGCCTCCAGTCCAAACTGGGCCCCATCCCCACCCTGTCCTCAGCCCAGAGCTCTGAGGGCACCTCCAGGCGTTCCTTGGGCACCTCCAGGGATGGGGACCCCAAAACTCTCTGGGTTTGGAAGGGGACCCCAAACTTTCCTGGATTTGGATGGAGGTTTGGATGGGGACCCCAAAACTCTCTGGATTTGGAGGGAGGTTTGGATGGGGACCCCAAAACTCCCTGGGTTTGGATGGGGACCCCAAACCTCTCTGGGTTTGGAGGGAGGTTTGGATGGGGACCCCAAAACTCTCTGGGTTTGGAGGGAGGTTTGGATGGGGACCCCAAAACTCTGGATTTGAAGGGAGGTTTGGATGGGGACCCCAAAACTCTCTGGGTTTGGAGGGAGGTTTGGATGGGGACCCCAAA